GCATAAATTTGACTTTAGCCCTTGCTCTCTGAGATTGAAATATTTACATGACAAAGAGAGCTGAGAAACTTGTGGCTTTTCTTTTTACAGAAGCAGAGAAAGTTATTGGCTGGGCTAGAAATCATTATTTAGCTTCTTCTCTAGACCCATCGGTTAAAGGAGGCCGCTTGTCTCTGCCTCGTGAAAGGTACTCATAGTTGTGGCTTTATCTTGTGGGTCTGTGATCTTTATTTTATTTTAATCTTGCTGCATTTTTCTTCTTTTCTTCAAGCCTTGAGATTTCAATTGCAAGATTAAGGAAACTAGAAGATAATTCCCTAAAGCCGTCACAAAACTTGAAGGTGAGTCTCGCTGCCCTTGGATACTGGTAAATGATCTTGATTACTTTGAGTAATAATGATGTTAACGTTTCCTGCAGGATATTGCAAATGATGAGTATGAAAGAAATTTTATCTCGGCTGTGGTTGCTCCTGGAGAAATAGGCGTCAAATTCGAAGACATTGGTGCTCTCGAAGACGTGAAAAAGGCATTAAATGAGTTGGTTATTCTTCCCATGAGGAGGCCAGAGCTTTTCACCCGTGGAAATCTCTTGCGGGTATTGCATTCTGTTTGGTACATAGCATTATTTTCTTTCACTAGGTCAGTTACTACTGTTCATCTTGGCTGTTTGTCTGATGGCATGAGCCTTTCTCAGCCCTGTAAAGGAATATTGCTTTTTGGTCCTCCGGGGACTGGTAAAACTCTCCTTGCCAAGGCGCTTGCAACAGAAGCTGGAGCAAACTTCATTAGCATAACTGGCTCAACACTTACATCAAAGGTACATGGAATATGTCGTATGATGTTACATTGATTTTTGGGAAAATGTAGTTTCGGCGACAGAGTTCGATAAATAACTATCATAGTTTCGCTATTCTCCTCCTGATAATTATTTATTGGTCTGACTCTGCCTTGTCTTGGTTCCTTGTTTGGCGTAGTGGTTTGGAGATGCAGAGAAGCTCACTAAGGCTCTCTTTTCCTTTGCCACCAAGCTAGCACCTGTTATAATTTTTGTCGATGAGGTGAGAATTTTGTATCTAAGTTTCACTTTGTTTGTCCATACTTCACAGGGTTGATTTATGGTTACTATCGCTGCTTGCTGGACATATATTATGATGGGTAAATGTGAGTAATGAAGATTTTTTGTTTGATAGATCGACAGTCTGTTGGGTGCGCGTGGTGGCTCTTCCGAGCACGAGGTTACCCGAAGAATGAGAAATGAGTTCATGGCAGCTTGGGATGGGCTTAGGTCAAAAGACAGCCAAAGAATCCTCATCCTCGGTGCCACCAACCGCCCCTTTGATCTTGATGATGCTGTCATTCGTCGTCTACCAAGACGGTAAAACCTGATTTGAGTTTTATTTGCCTTTGTGAAGATTCGTTGTCTGTTTTTCAAGTAATAGTAAACTGTGAATCCTCGTTTCATTGAAAGTTTGTTAATCCCTGTGAACTCTAGGATATATGTCGACTTACKAGATGCCGCAAACCGGTTAAAGATACTGAAAATATTTCTCACTCCAGAAAATCTGGAACCCGGTTTCCAATTCGACAAACTTGCCAAGGAAACCGAAGGGTATTCGGGTAGCGATCTGAAGGTTGGTATTCGTTCTTAGAGGCCCAGCCTGCGGTGGCCGTGGAAGGTTTTTATGTTTCTTAATCTCTTTCTTGGGGTTTATATTGCAGAATTTATGCATTGCTGCTGCGTACAGACCTGTTCAAGAACTGTTACAGGAAGAACAAAAGGTACAGAATCCATTGCATTAGACATAGACTGGTAGGTTCTGCAGCTTTGTGCTTGATGTTTTTGCCTTGTTTGTCTCTTTAGGGTGCAAGAGCGGGTGATTGTCCTGGTCTACGATCTCTGAGTTTAGATGACTTTATTCAGTCTAAAGCTAAGGTAATTTAGTTGTAGTTGTATCAATGCCAAATATACCAAAATGTAGCTTGAATTTGCGTTTTTCGCCTTATTATGATGATTGATTCAAACCGCAAAGATGTGATTGTGATCAATATATATCGGCTGATGTGATTTGGCAGGTAAGTCCATCTGTGTCGTACGACGCAACGACGATGAACGAGCTGAGAAAATGGAACGAGCAATATGGTGAAGGTGGGAGCAGGACTAAGTCTCCCTTTGGCTTCTGAAGAAAATGTCAGTTTTGGTAGATCAAATTGTTTAAATCTCTGTTTTTTTCTACTTTGTTAGATCATGTTGTAACTAACCCTAAGGTGCCATATCCTTTTATTAGTATCATTTTTCAAATTTCAATCTTATCTAATGTAACCTATAATGGATCACGAACCTTTATGTAGAAGATTCCAAATTTTATTTGATCTTCAACGCAATACAAAGAGAAGCAAAGTAGAGAAAACAACTAAGTCGAAGGGTAGCACTAAAACATAGGGGTGGTCAGTTGGCGGGCGGGTAAATTTGAATTTCGGGATATCCATTATCTAACTCGATCCTTATAGGTAATAGACTATGGTTCCGGAATCAAATGCTTTCTTTTCAGCAGCTGTACCATTAGAAAGGCAGCATAAACAACGCTCGAAAGTCTTCGGTTTTGTTGAGGAGAGTACTAGCGATCATGAAACTTATCAGGAAACTGCTTGTTGAGGTTCAGGCAACTCACCTTGCAATCTCTCCAAGGAGTACTCCAACGGAATCGGAAGTCACATTTTCCATCTCCCTCCAGTTCTATGTCCAATCCAATCAAAAACACATTTATAAAACCATGTTTATGTAACAAAGTTTGTTTCATTTACGCTTATGTCATTGAAATACTTAATTCTGATTATATAATAGTTTCTATTGACACCAACTATCAATCCGATATGCGATTGTATTCATAATTTGTGCCCAAATTTGATAAAAGCAACTGTAAATAGCACTTCAATAAAATTATTTAAGATCTTTCTCAAAGCATGCCAAAAGGAATCATCTACTTTATTTTCATCTTTATGAAGCTAGTATTTAAAAATAAAATAACAGGTATGACCTTGAAAAGTAAAATAAAATCAAAAGGAAAAAAGATATTGCATGATGGGGGTCAGTGAGCTAAACAGAGAGACCGGAAACCTTTTGAAAAATGATTTACCAAAAAGCTTGGTTTAGCTACGAATCCAAGAAGGCTCCAAACCATAGAGCTTATCGCCTTGGTTTTGAGCAGCCGATGTCCGAGGCGGTGGTGCATGTACCGTGATCGGAAGAATCCAACTGTTTTTTTCTGTCTTCGGGACTAACAGCGGATGTTCATACCTTTAGTAATCAGAAAACAGAACCAGAAACAGATTTCAACAACTTGGCATTTCAAAAGACTGACCAAGAGATTTGAAAGAGAGCTGAGTCTTTGCATTATAAATCCGTTGAGTATTGGGAGTAATACCTGCTTAAGTCCACATCCTTTGCGGTAAATAGGAACTCAAACTTAAGGTTCCATTGTACAGAAACATGAGGTGTAGTAAATGACATTGGACCATCCACGGGAATCGAAAAAAGAAAGCTGGTCTGAATAAGATCTGCCACCACTTCATGGTGATCGCTTTGGATCTGTTAAAAAAGCAATGTGCTAGAGATTTCAGATCGCAGCAACATAGAATCTAAAGATCAGTATGGGAAAAGAGGTTCTTTTAGAACAAATTAGGTCCCTTGCCAAATTCCAGTGGTATAACTTACACCCCAGTGTTGCATTTGTACCTTAGGACTCTCAGGAGAATTCCTCCTAGCCGGATGAACGAATCTCCTATCTATTATCTCTGTCGTTTCTAGTGTAACCATGACCTAGAAAAAGATATTGATCATCAAATTCAACAGATCTTGATATAGCCTCAACCTCAGATTATACACCAGAAGTTTTGTGTGTTATGGATTTACCTCGAGGCATCTCCTAGCACCTTCATGGAAGAAAGTAAGAGTTCCACCTATCTGGAAAAAAAATTACCAATTGTGAAAACAGTTATTAAATGCAGGAAATGTTTTGATAGAATGTTGAATGACATGAAATTGCCATTACAGTATCGCTGAAGTAATAAGTAGAGTCGGCAATGTTCGGGTAAAATCTAAGAACGACTTGGCCATCCAATTTAATGTTGTAAGATCTTCCTCGCGTAAATCCTTCTGCTGCAAGAAATTATTGCATCTGGATAAGTAATACTTGCAGAATCAAAAAACAAATGAAGACTACAAAATGGGAGAAGGTTAAGAGAGTAAGCTAGTTTACATGGAACTGGTTCTCCAGCTCCTGCTTCAGGAGGCATAGATGTTCCCGGGCCATTTGTCTGCTTCGGTCGTTGGCTTTGGATCGCAGAACTTGATGATTTATCAGGGGAAAATCCATCTAGTAGAAAAACATGAAGTCTTCTTCAGTAATCTCTTCCTTGCTTACCAGTTACCATTTCTAATATTATAGAGCTGATAAACAAAATAAATAATGGGGTAGTTTTGAAACAGCATGTTTCATGAACTATTTCTTGGTATTTAGAAACAGTACTATGTTCAGAATTTTCTCGAAACCAGTCTTCTACTAAGGACAGAAACACTTATGTTAACGAATTAAGCCTTTTCTACAACTCTTCGTCAAACAACTACGTGAACTGGTGCTATTCTCAGTGGCCCTGTAAAAATGCTGTTTTAGTCAATTACAAGCATATCAATCACTTACCGGTTCCAGAATCATAAGACACCACAGCGGCTGATAACTGAGAAACCATCATTTTTGGAGATGATCCAACACCTTCGTCAATATATGACGTGTCTTTCATTGATAAGCGCGGTGCAGAATTTAAGGACAATGAACTGCCAAAGGTCTTATTCAAATTTCCTTTGTTGGCATAGGAAGAAACAGACGAGATTTCATCTCGTGAACTGTCGTATCCATCCTCACCACTATCGTATGCATCATTTGCTCTAGTCTGCATTAAACGCATTTGGTACATTGTTCTCATGTTGACCAGCATGCAAACTAAAACCAATACGTATAAAGAAAAGAAGTTGTGTAATCGGTAGTAAAGAAGATACACAGTAAAATGGCACAGGTGTGAGCATGCCATACCCATTCTGAATCTCCATCCATCTCTTTCCAATATATTTCTGTCTGAATGGTACTGGCTGGAACAATCCCTGAAAGCGAATGGAAGAGTCACATCAGGTTGCACCACTAATGCCGTCCAAAAGTAAGATTATTTTCCTACGTTCTGTAACTTGGTGTCTCATAAATAAACAGAGTCCCTGATTTAAAATTCCCAATCGACACTTTAGGAAGAAGCTTACCCTCGGTTTGACTTTCCTCTAATAGCAACCCATTGTTCTTCTGAATTACCCATACCTGTATTGGGATTTGAGTCTCCTGTTGGGAAAAAAAACAGGATTACAGAGTGTCAAATTATGCCAACAGCAAGTAAATACGAAAAATACAATTTAAGAAGGGGACATTAGATTATATTTCAGAAAAACAAGAGCTAACCACCAAATGCATTCACTTAAATAATTTCTATCAAGCATCATCACATAGAAGGCAAATAATTTGAGCCTCAATTATGGCATAACTAGGATAAAATCCTAGACCCACTACAGAATCGTAGCATCCAATTTTTGGGACAAAAAATTATATTGATGCTAAATCAAGAAGAACATCGATTCTACTTGACCAGAGAGATATTATAATTGAGTGACCGAATCCTTAACTCACTACAATGAAAATTTTTCCAAAGCAAACACTGTCCATGGGACACCGACAAGTTTTCTAATAACATCTAGACTAACCTATGTTTTATACCTCATACTTCAACCTCATATTTGGCATAGAAACTCCCGTGCATCTACATTTCATTGCCACAGAGAAACAACAAGCTCGATGATTAAGAATGTTGAATGAGCCAAACAAAGTTGTGCGATTTTCTTATCAATTAGGCATCAAGCAGGCTAAAAATCAAGGATGCCGCCTGGCTTAGCATGTTTTCACAAGAGCTACAAAATGTTTTCTTTTATCCCAGTTTATATGTTTTTTATACAAGAGAACAGAAAACATACTGCGTTCAAGAAACCAGAGTAAACAGAGAAGTCTGAAAATTAAGTAAACTAACCACTTTAATGTAATCTTTTGTCGAGTCTTTGTAAAACTGACTGTTTTCTAATGCCATCCATCTTCCACGTAATGTGCTCTTGATGTAGTAATGGTAACGTATAACACCTTTATAAGAAGGTGGTATATTCTGTGGAAGTATAGCTCGAACCATAACTGTATACGGAAATTGCAAAACAAAGAAGTCTGTCAGCTTAAAGGTTGACATTGTAGGCCCTGGCCTTCGGCATCTAGCATAGTCTATGTAATTATTCATATAGTTCTAAAGAAAGGAATCAGGCAAGATTACATGTCATCTTAGCACCAGGGGATAGTAGTTGATCTGATATCAAGGATGATGTTGAGCTGTCTAGGAAGTTACGTTCACCTGGAAATCTCCAAAAATATATACATATATATATGATTACATCATTACGGAATCAATACAAAAGTACAAGTAGATGGCACAGAACCTAGTAATGGCACAGAACCTAGTATCATTTTACTCGATGTCTCTAAAGAAAAAACCCAAAAGGTTTAAATTTTCCAGAGTTAAGGAAACATGCAAATAAAAACTGCATAAATTCAATGCTTATTGTTTTTACTATACACCTGGATTTATTTTTTCTCAACCATTTTTCTCATACTCATCTTCACAGGGCAGAGAACAAAACTTAACCAGATTCAAGCCTACTTCCAAGA